CAACATTACTCGCAGCGACAGCCCACTGGTCTTGAATAGAAGCACCAGAGCGATGTGTGCAGAACGATGGCAATGAACAGAGCACAGCGAAACACTGACCTGCGATGACAGTGTTCACACACTCGTACAGCAAAGACATGGCCGAGGTACTGAGGGAGAGAGGACAAGAGAAACGAATATTCACTTAATGCTCAGCCATTAATTTTAATAGCTCAAGAGCTATAACTGTCAAACTCGTTGTCCAGGTTTGTCTCACCTGTGAATGAGGTTCGTTAGCGGCTCAATCAGCTTTTTTCCCAAACGAGGCTCCAGCGGGGTAAGAGCACCAAACTGGGGATACGAACACATCTTTCAAAGACCTGGCAGATCCCCGACCCCTGACCCCCAACCCCCAACATCCTCTCACCCTCCCCGATCCCCCTCCAGTCTCCCGCAGACCCCCGATCCCCCCCAGCCCCCAGCAGCAGGGGCAGCGCAGCCCAGCTGACTGACCAGCTTGATGATCTTGATGAGGACCCAGTTGTTGGTGGAGGATGTCATCAGTTTGAAGAAGAGGGGCGCCAGTGACAGGTAGTTTTTGGGGTTCCTTCTGGCCAGCTCACAGATCACGTTGACAGCTGCAGACTGCACCCCTGTCAGAGGAGATGGACTGCACAGTGAGCATGCAAATGCACAGCACCCACACTTAATTCCAGATTTGCATTGCTGTACTTTTGGACGAAGAACATCACACTGCAGCTCATGTCATGAGAGAATGAGACGCAGTAAAATCTCACTCTAGGACACATCTTCCCACCCTGCATGCACACCCCAGCTCCCCAACCCCACCCCGCCACCTCTCTCGGCAGGACTGACCAGGATCAGGGTCCTCAAGCTTCTCCTTGAGTCGGGGGAAGGCGGGGCGCAGTGACTCGGGGTACTTCAGGAACACCTTGTACATGATCAGCACTGCCTTCTTACGGATATAGGGCTTGGTGTGGGACATCTGGAGCATAGAGAGAAATGGGTTACTCTTGGGACCACTGTACATCTCCTGCTGCTCCGCAACCACCAAAAACACCTGCTCAGTACAGCCGATACTGCTGCAGCTCTCACAGGCAGGACAACAGTGTCTCTGCAGGTGTCTTACCAGTGTCATGATGTCATTAGCCAGGTCGCGGGCGAGGTCAGGGGTCACGAAGCAGGACAGGCCGGTCAGTGCCACGCCGGTGTCGTACTGGTTGGGACTGCTGAGATCCTGAGGGAGACAGACAGACCAGGCTTCAAAAACAGTGCTAGAGCCACGCATGTGCATGCAGACAGAGGGGGAGACAGGGATCACCTTGCGGATCTGATTGGTGGTCAGCATGATGACGTCAGTCCCCTCGTGGAAACACTGGGATGCAGCCAAGTAGCCTATCCTCTGGGCACGGCAGAGACAGAGAAGGAGTGTTACACAGTTCGTCTTTGTAATTTCAGCATTAAAAGGAATTGCACTGGAGGTTAAGTCAGGGGGCATGAGGATATCCTCACCTTGTAGGTGAATTTGGAAGAGCTCATCACCTCCACAATGTTGAAGGCAGCCCAGCTGACATCATAACCCAGCATCTGCAACTGTGGGCAAAACAGACAAGGAACTTGTACGCAATATAAGAAGTCAATATCAGTGTGAGTGTGAACAGTGAACAGTCTCCTGCAGCAGCGTGTTAGTGCAAGTGTGAACAGTGAGCACTCTCCTGCAGCAGCGTGTTAGTGCAAGTATGAACAGTGAACACTCTTGATATAGGCTGAGGTAGATGACAAATGAGGTCTCTCTAAGTATCTACCAAACTAGTGTTAATATTTAAACTTCCTGGACCTTCAAACTTTGGAGGTTCACTTCGTTGTGCTGGGTAAACACTGATCAAAATAATATTCTGGTTTAACTTAATTAAATTCTGGTAAAATGATTAAATCTGCATCAACAGTCCAGAAAGACACCATATAAGATCAGATCAAGACAGAGAAAGGGGGGAAAGAAAAAGGAGAAAAGGGAAAGAGACAAGAGAGGAAGACAGGAGGGGAACTTGAAGTTAGTTAGAGTTCCTGATTTGAATCATCTGAAAAGACCTGATTGGAGCTAAGTGTTTGAACCTTGCTAAAGAGAACTTGCAATTCTGAGTTCTTAGGGAAGTTGGATTTCCTGAGTGAAGAATGCCTCAGTTAAAAACAACCTTTCCTGCTTTGTGGTGTATTTTTAGAATAGGGAGATAAGCTCATACTTCTTATGTGGTATCAAGGTTTGCAGAGAGAGATTTAATTGAAGGCTGTATTGCATTTAGTTTAGAAGGCAGCTTATCTCTTCATTTGGCCTTTTTACGTATTATTTAAGAGTCAAATACTTGGTACCACTCTATGTTTTTCTGGGTGGTCTAGACAAAGGCCTCTGAAATGCTTTATATGTACATACTGTATACATATACAGACTTGTGTGTTGTATGTTTATGTTGTGTGTAGTGTGGTATTTGTCACTGGCATTGTAAATAAATATTTGTTTAACCAAGTGAATTAACTCTTTTCAACAAGG